TGGATTATAGTTAAAAATGTTATAACTGTGGCTGAGTATCAAACTGCAATACATTTGTGGTGCCAACAAAAACAATTTTGTATGGAACGGTAGCATTGAAATTAGATATTTTTTGTGCAGTGGTTCCAGAGCCAAAGCATTGCATCAGGCCTTCTGTTGAGTCAGCAGGGCTGCATCACCAGATTACCTTTAGTATCAGTTGCTATTGAGTTTGTTTCTAGTCAATTCAATAAATTATTCTCTCTGAGACCTGGTTTACGGCTTGAGATGTCTAATTTTGTCAAACAGTCCAAAAACCCAAAGATGTTGACAGTGTAAAACTGAAGAAAGCAGTGAATACTTATGTTGGAGAAGCTGGATGTTTGATACTTTTGTTTAATTAATGAATTGCAGATGAATTTTCTGTTGATTGATTAATCTCAGCACTTGTTTCTGCTCCAGTTACAAGGGAGACATCATTAGTCTTAAGCATTTATCTGAGCAGTGCTTGATTTGAGCTGTTCCTACTGTCTACAGACTGTATGCACTAGATACTTATTTTTCACTTTTCCATCTCAGTTTCATCTTCATTTTGTCTATGGTAGCTTTGTAGGCAGCTGACTACACTGTCCTGCACAGTGAAGTTTGTATTATAAGCGATGCGTTGTCAAGTAGAGGAAGAAACAGTGTCAGCACATTGGATAGTGCCCCTAGGATATTGCATTTTACAGCACTACTACAGGTTCCTTATTAGACTTGAAAATGCTGCTGTGCTAGTCTTCCAAAGAAACATCAGTCCAGACAGCAATAAAATGGCCACATTAATCTGAGGGTTTGTCCATAGAAGATGCAAAAAAGGGGACAGATATTTTTTCATTTATATCTTTATACTGAAATTCATGAAGTATACACAATGCATCCTACACTATTACAGTTTCCACACGTTGATAATGTTTTTGTTGTTGGATGATAAAGCTACGTTTTGGCATTTAATTAAACAGCAGTCTGACAGAAGCTCGGAGAAAAAAAAAAACATTAACATCGTTGTGGGTTAAACTGTAGCACGGCAGCAGGTACTGTAGGTAGGTAGGTACAAGTAGGCAACATTAGTTAGTTACAGAGTAGAAAATAATAAACAAAACCTCAGTGTTCATTTTTTTAATGCTTATGTACAACCCAGTGCCTTTACAGGAATAACGGCCCTTTGTTTCTTTTAAACTCATCTGGACTTTTCCTCTGACATCACAAATAGATTACAGGCAGTTGGACTCCACCTTCAAGTTAAACGCGATTTACAGTAACAGTCAACTTTTAGACTGGCAAGAGAAAGTCCAATATGAATATTATTTGTTTTATAATAAGTGGAATCTTGTTGAACCCCCTTTCTAAGTATGAAAACAAATCCATCAGCACTTTTTTAAAACACTGTTCCCTCTGCACTGATGTAGGCACCAGTTCGATCCTGGCTTTGACCTCGGATCACAGTCCTGTAACTCATTGTGTTAATTCCTGATCTACACTTTAGGTGCAGACTTAGACCTCTGTGACTTTTCACAACGTGTGTGCATATACACACACACTCGCTGGCCACTTCAGTATTTAAACCATCTTAGCACTGTGTAACATCTGCCTTTGCCTCTTGGACATGTTGAATTCTCTGAGGTATGAATTTATCAAGGTGTTGGAAATGTTTCACAGGGATTTTTGCTCCATGCTGGTTCAATGAAGTCAATCAATTCCTGCAGATTGTAGTGAACAGTGAGATGGTTGTGCTCATGTTATCCTGCCACATCCCAGAGGTGCTCTGCTGAGTCAAGTGCAGGCAGCCAGAATAAACACAAGTTTCTGTCATGTTTCTGGAGCTATCTTGAGACGAGGAGCACTTTGTCACACAGCTACGAGTTGCCAGCAGTGGAAACTTAAGACAAGCCATGATTTAGCATGTCATACTGTGAGATGCCCTTCTGCACTCTATGGGTACACTCCATGTGTGCTGTGGCCTTTCTGGTAGTTTTAAACATCTTTTTTGGCTGATCTCTTCTGACCTCCCTCACTGACACAGTGCCTTCCCCCCCGCTGCTGCTGCCAGGTTTGTTTCCGTTTTCCTCACAATCTTCCATGAAGAACTATCCTCATTTATCAGTAATAACCATAGTGCCTTTCAGATCACATTGTTTTTCACAAGTAGTAACCAGACCTCCTCACCCTGATGCCTGGAGGAGACAGGCGTTCCAAATGAAGTGAGTGTTTGTTCTGTATCCACCTGTATATAATTGCTTAACAAAGTATCAAACATGACCCTGTCATCTGAAGTTAAAGGTCAAAGATCACAGAACAGCTGGCACCAGCAAAGGGGTGGGTGGCCGGGGGCAGGTTTTAAAGGCATGTTCAAGTGCAACAGGACTTACAAATTGGTGTGTGGGTTTTCCATTTGAAATGTACATCTCACTAAGTGATATTTAGGGTTTGTTACAATCATTGCACAACTCTGGGGTTCAACAATGTTTTAACAGATATATGTACATGTAGAGGTTTTTCATGATTTGGAGCTTTTAGTTTCTTTGTGCTGGGAGGCTGAAACCAAAAAAATGAGAAGTATGTTTTATGTCTGAAACCTGATGTGAGGAAATAGCTCTGCTGTTGGTAGCTACAACAGCTTCTGCTTTTACTGTAAATTACATATTCATGTCCTCTGACATCAATATCAACCTTCAGATCAAGGCATTGTCAGCAAATGTCTCTTTAGCATCATTCATATATACATTTGAACATTAAAGGAAAGTAGACAACCAGGAAAAACAGTTCTCCCTTATAGGCATACGTCGCCGCACTGTATTTCTGCTTCTTGTCTACACACATTTTAACGTTATTTCAGTCAATTTATGCATTCAAACATGTTCTTCCATCTCGCATAAACACAGTTCACAGTCAGCACAAAACAAAAAACATGCGCACGTACACACACACACAATCTTTACATAAGCACATTCATGTACATAATTAGAAAAAGAAAAGTGTTGTTCAACGTAAATTAGAAAACAGTTTTGAAAAGGAGTCTATTGGCTCTTGTACCTAAAACAAAAATCTTACAGGGACTAGTTGTTTGTGCCAGTAGTTTAGAGGGGAGGATGATTTTAAGAAAGGACGGAGTGTTTTCATCCCTGTCATGTCAGGACAGTTATAGTTCAGATGTCCTACCTTCCTTCTGCAAGTCTTTAATATCAGCAGTACAAAAACAGAAACTAATGAAGCATTTCTCTCTCTCTCTCTTATTTACATACTTTTCAATCTGTGACTGGTGGAAGCACAGTTTTTCTGGGTTGAGTGGTACCATTGTACTTCATTTTATGTTTTTCAGCCCCTTCCCATCAGCACAGTTGACTGTAGTCAATCAGGGTAGAGACAGGAAGATGTGGGTAGAGGTGATTAGATTAGGAGGGGAACAGGGGAAACATGAGGACAGTTTGGATAACGGGAACATGGAACACAATCTGCAGTAATGGTCATCCTGGGATGTAACGGTCAGTGTTCAAGTTAAAGTCGTCGCCCAGTGGGTTAAGTTTAAGAGTCCGCAGGTTTCAGTGGTGAGTTGCACTGAGTTTTAGATATGATCTGTGTAAAACTGGGGTGGGTGGGGTTATCAGGTTAGGTGGTCTCTTTGCCTTGGCTCCCAGTGACAGTTTTAATGGAGCTTAGCGTTCGGGTTAACCAGGTCTTCTTGGCGGCCTGCACCTCGTTGAGGGCCAGACCCAGGTGGTGCTCTAGGTCCTGAGAAAGATGAGAACTATGAATGGCAGCCAGAACAACAAGAAACATAACAAGTCTCATTCTTGAAGAGTACAGAGTTCTGCCCGACTTTTTCCAGACATATATTTTTACAACTTAGCCAGCAGCTTTAAACTCAATTCCCACTCTAACAGGCATTATTAATCACATGAAATCTTCATTTTTCTGTGACACCATTCCCAATACTTTCGTCACAGAGCTCCTTCCTGCTGTCAGTCAAAGTCCTTTCTTATAAATGGTTCACACTCTTCAGCTTTGGCCCAGTTTTCCTTCAGATGGACCACGCTCTAGCCTCTCTAACAAACTGTGCTCACACATACTATATCTGAACTGTTTCAACTGGGTTTTAAAAATTTAATTTGACTAGACTTTTCTGATTTTGTTAGACTTAAAAGTTAAGACACTGATGACAACACTGTTAGCACAGAGTAGAAATGTCTTCATTACATAAAACCAGACAACCCAGATATTAAGAAATAAGTGTCCTAAAATGGCCCCCTCCTAAATGATTGGACTGACTGGAAATTATGTCTCAAATCACATTTTGGACCATTCCCATTTTAAAGCTGCCTCTACCTTCCCAATGTGACGGAAATTTATTTATTTAGTATTTTAGCCACTAACTGTGTTAGTGTACCTGGATTTTGCACTCGGCCTCCACCAGCTGCAGTTTGGTCTGGGCTAGTTCCAGCTCCATCTCTCTAAGTTGGTTATTTAAACCCTCCTTCTCCTCATCGGTCTCCTCAGGCCCTCCAGCAGGTGCCCTGGTCACAGCTGCCCGTACACGACCCTCTTTGTTGAAAAGTCCGCTGCACCTCTCACAGCCTTCCACTTTCAACTAGAGAAGGATGTGAAAGAAAGATAGAAAAGGTTAGAGAAATGCAACAAGGTAGTAACTGACATCTTTATACCAGTCACTGCCCTTACAAGCTCCTTTTTTTTAGCCCTCTCCTTTAAACTGGAGATTAAAATGAATAACAAAAAAGACAAATGTGCAGAGTAAAGGCACAAAGAGATTTCATGTTAGATTAAAAAAAAGATCTAGCCCAGCACTGATGCCATTTCAAAAGACAGACGTCTTGGAACCAAGCTCCTATTAAGTCAGAGTTCATAGGAGATACTGACTTTATACATAGAAATAAAGGAGATACATGAATGAGAAAATTAAGACTCTGAACTTAGAAAGACCGTGAAAAGAGCTCCAAAAAAGATGGTGAGAGAGGTGTGTGAACATCTTGGTTTCTCTTGTTTGACATGATTTTTGCACCTTCTAAGACTTACCAGTATGCAGTATCTTTGACAACTTAAAAAGTTCAAAAATAAGGATGCGCCAACTGTGGTGCATACGAAATGTCTAACCAGCCAACAAATGTATAAATGGCAATGCGGCCATGACATTCTGCACTGTGCCTGTCTATTGAAGCTGTGTTATTTTTACAGCTTGAGAAGAGACTGGAAAAAAATGACTCCTAAATTCACTCATTCAGATAGTATAAGCTTGTCACGTTTGGATGGCACAGTTTTGGGCATGGGTCAAGTTTGGACAGAAATATGAGGCCCGATCCATGCTCTAGTCCCTGGGCACAGACACATAGAAGGCCTTCCTTACTCTCCTACATGGAGTCAAGACACCAAGACTGAAACAAACATGTTTTGTTTGCATCTCTTTTGCTCGTCTTGCATGTATTTATAGTCATTTATGCTTGCAGTTGCTTAGCATCTCAGCAGACATTGTTTCTTTGTAGTCATTTTGCATTCATTTGCATTCACTATGTATTCATTTTTGCAACTCTTTGTCAATGATTTGTCTCACCTCAACTTTTTTTTTTTGGCTGCTATTTTGTAGACGAGTACCAGGTGCCCCCTGACCCCTTGGGCCTATGCCCAGTTGTCCCATTCAGTAATCCTTCCTTGCTCAATAGTGACCAGTAAATTTAGATTTCATATACTTGTCATCATTTTGCATTATCACTGTAAGCCATTGTGCAATAGCATTTTACATAAATATAATGCAGAGAGCATTGCATTGTGGGATTGTCAGTGGAAAGTATTACATGCTACTGTATGTTTTACATATCCAGAATTCAGGCACTCAAAAGCATAAATGTAGTGCACTGTGTAGTAAATAGGAATCATGTTAGCTCATTAATGTTGTAGATACACTAACCAGCTATGCTTATCTACTTAGCCCTCGAGTCACAGAGCTCTTTTCTGGGTGCCCTTTTGTGTGATGAGCTATTATTGGGCGCAGCATATTTGTGCAAGGAGAAAATCACTGTGAACGGAGTCATACTGACTATGACGCAAGACTAAGTACTTATCTTACTGTGGGAGGAGGACAACTGCTTTTGCCAGATGATCTAAGAAACACTTAAGGCATGTAAAGGATAGAATAAATACTACTCAGACTAAGCCCAGCTGATGCTGCAGCAGCACAGATACATATGAAGAAGTGATAGCTGGAGTGTTTCTTGGTCTTTCTCAGTTTGGCACATGGCTACTAAAAGTCCTAATGGCAGTGCAGTTTGGGCAGAATCTCTTGGGTCATGTTTAGTAGGCTGACTCCTCTGAGGCCCTTGTAGACAGATTGTCTGACTTTGTGTTAACAAGTAGCGGTGTCTATGGCACGGTATACAGTATTACACAGTTACTGTTATTATTAGATACAACAACCCTCAAAAGATTGGAAAAAATGGTCTTTTGTTTTATTTCAAGTGACTGTGCCAGTTGACTGAGCTGGACTGTACCAACTGACTCTAAAGAATAAAAAGAGTTGGCATATAACTAAAGCATGTCAGCACCAGTAGTAGAGGAAGTATTCAGATCCTTTACTTAAGTAAACGTACTAATATCACACTGTAAAAGTAGAAGTCCTGCATTGAAATGTTATGTTTTCTCATAAAAATGTACTTGAAGTATTAAAAGGAGAAGTAGTCTACTCAATGTAGAAAAATGTTATACTATACATCCTATACTGTTATATATTATGTCATTACATTATTTTTCTTTTCTGAACTATTTTGTATCCAAGTGCAAATACTGATTGTTTTCATTAGGGATTAATCTGCTGATTATTTTCTCAATTAATTGACTGACTGGTTTGTAAAGCATCTGGCGCAGTAGTGAGACATGCCATCACAATGCTCCAAACAATGATCAAAATAGTTAACCTATTGTAGGAAAATTAAAAACATTTTGGAATGGTAGCCAGCCCTACTTGTATGACAATATTACATTTAAAGCTAAACAGTAATTAATAAATGGTAAATGGTCTTATACTTGTATAGCGCCTTTCTATGCTATACTCAAAGCGCTTTCATATTATTCAGCCATTCACCCATTCGCACTCCCAAGCACTCACGGATTAACACACCGGTGACATCACCGGGAGCAACTGGGGGTTCAGTGTCTTGCTCAAGGACACCTCGACATGTTGACTGGACAAGCCGGGAATCGAACCGCTAATCCTCCGGTTAGGAAACGACCCGCTCTACCTCGTGAGCCACAGCCGCCCCCAAATACATAACTTTTCTAGAGTAGCTCATCACTGCAGCAGTGGATGGGAGCGTTAATGAAATAGCAGAGTGTCAGAGCTGAAATGGTTTTTGCCATCACTTTAACTAGAGTTTTAGTGATCAAGTATGTCAGTATATTTAAACATTTCTAATTAATGTTGTGGTAACTTAAAGCTGTACTATGTTATTATCCACTGTACATCACTGTTCCCCTACCTCAGTTAGAAATTGCTGTTGCAAACAGTTTTATTGCGTTTGGTGCTCCACTGTTGGTAAACGATCCAAACAAGGTGATAGATGTGCAGACAAGTTACCTCTACTTTCACACATAACTGCTATATCCTTTACAGGAGTTGTCCTTGGTGCAGTTGTCTGTCCTTGTGTGACTCTTTGGGCAGCCCTGACACAGCTCTCTGCCAAATGGCCTTTCTCCCAGTCTACACAAACGGTAGGAACCAAGTGTGCATGTGCTCCTTGGCCTAACCCCTCATTCTTTCACAAGCTTTGATTCCACTGCTACTCAAGACAATGACAAGGCAACGTAGTACGCAGCATACCTGCAAACCCAGTTCATAACTGTTCTGTCCATTTAACAGCTGGATCTAACCAGTCTGATACTGGTTCAGGGTCTAGTGACCATTCTTTGTAAAACTGACTTCACAAGAACTCTGTTGGATTCTAGAGTTAATGTCGGAGTCATAAAAAAAAAATTATTATGCAAATATTGGTCAGATTTTCATTAATTAACCATCAGGTTTGCATGAGATTTCTAATATTTAAATCTTGATTATTCAGCAGGGACAGAGCGGTAGCCTATATTACATCTGTCTACAGCCTAACATAAATCCAGACTCTGTAGAACTGAAATTAGATCAATTCTTCAATTAGTAACTGTGAAAAACAGATACATATACGTTTGATGCTAACAGCACAGCTCTGTAATTACACTCTACTTAAAGCAAAGGCTGTAGTGTTTGAGGGCACACAGAATGTTTCAAGCTACATATGTACGTGTCTGTGTGCGTAAAACTCACCCGGATTTTGTCCAGTTCTCCACGGGTGGCTGTCTGTTGTTTCTCAAGTCGTTCGCTCAGCTGAGAGCAGATCTGAAGGAACCAGGGAGGTAGTTTGATCAGATACATGCTTTCACGCTGCTGTCAGCTCTATCAGCAATGCACCCGAACTTAACTGCATCTCTTGCATCTCAATCAGTGTGAGCAACTCAGCAGTTACTACAGCTATTACATCGAGAGTTGCACTGTAAGGGAAACCCAATGACAACAATATGGAAGAATTTACTGTATAATTAGTGGTAACTACATTTAGATACTTTACTTATGAATATGAAAAATTACAAGTTAAAGTCCTGCATCCAAAATTATGCTTGAGTAGAAATATAGAAGTATCAACAGACAAATGTATCAAAAGTTCAAGTACTCTTCATGCAGAATGGCCGGTTGCAGTTTGTTCAGATAGGAGACTGACTTTACCTGCTTTACAGTTTATCCTGTTGAGGTTTTTAAATCAGGAACACTATATATTTAATAAGATGAGCGAAGTAAAAAGTTCAGTATTTGCCACTGAGAAGCAGTGGAGCTGAATTGAAAAAGCAGCATAAAATGCAAATATTCCAGTTAAGAATAGTACCTCAACCCTGCAGCCTATTGGTAAATCTAAGTAATAAACAACCCCAATCACTCTCCATTTACTCCCACCACACGACTGTTTTTCTTTTTATTTACTTTGTACAAAGGAGGATTTAAGAGTCATCACTACTTTTTATTGTAGTACAGCCAGGATCTAATGCAACATGGGAACAGAAATGTCATAGAAATAGTCACTGTGCACTACCTGGTGTTACCCTTCCTCAGCTCTGTTTGTGGCTCTTTGTGGAAGAGACTTTCTTCTTACTCTAAGCCCATTAGTGGCATCATAATGTATTTTTCCAGCAGGGCTCACAGGATGCACATGCATGAATATGTATGTATGTGTATCCTTGCATATACCCAAGCAATTTCTCTCATTCTCCTTCTATACCTGCAACCCTCATTCACAAACATGCTGACACACATGCACTAGGTTGCCAGTGAACATAATGATCAATGTGATGAGTCATTCTAACAGATGCACAGGGTCATCCCACCTCTCTCTCTGTTCCTGCTCTGTGTATCTTTAACCAGGCAGATATCCACATCTTGATCCTCCTACAGTTTTTTTCTCTTCCTCGCCTTCAATTGCTCTTAAATGCCATTACTGTACCCATCTTTCTCTCTTCCTTCATCAGTACCAGTCTCCACTACTCTGTCATGCTGCACATTTTTTTATTTGTGAATCTTTATCTTGAGCCGCTCAGCATCATGTGCGAGGACCATTTTGTCACCAGTTTGTTCCCACAGGAGAACACGGTAGGTTTTTCACTCTGCTTTGTATGTTTTCTATAATTAGAAAAAGGGCTGAGGAGGACAGTGTGTTCTGCTGGGATTTCAAGCCTACAGATGCAGCCCTCTTAAATCACTGGCTGGACTGTGGTGGAACCACACCTGATCCATGATAGGTCCATGCACAGCCCCTGCTCTTACAGCGTATCCCCCCGCGATGACGCAGTGATCACAGCGCCACCTTGTTAACGCCCCTAAGCACCATGTGTGCAAGCTGCCCGCAGTGTTGTGTATATATCTGCCAGGTAGAGTAGTGTTGTAGTTTACTGCAGAGGCCGACTAATAATTTGATCATTCTGTTAATGTCCAGAACTGCTGGTGGATGAACATAGTAGGACCGCTGGGCCAAGCGGAGGCGCTTGGTTGACAGCAGCTGTCTACATATTAAACAGTGTCTATCACAGTTATAACTATTTCGATATACTTTCATGCTCAGACCTTATACGCCTTTTGAGATATTGTGCTACTGGCAGTTATTGCATTATGTCTACTTTTTTTTTTCATTGTCAACTCTACGCTATAAAAAGAGTCTTTCTGAGGCTGTTACTTTTTTATGCTCTCCCGAATAGTACCTCTTTACTTTTTCTGCATTTCAGGGCAAGTCTTGGCCAAAAAGACTGGTCAATAATGTATGTATACAGTATTGAATTACTTTATGAAATTACATATACTGTATAAAGTTTAGAATTTGATGCAGTTAAGATGCAATGCTGAACTGGTCAGTTGAAGACATCTGAAGTATTTTGTTATTCACAGGCACACTATCTTAAAGCTGTACAAGCTAAAATAAATATTATGCTAACAGAGCCTCAGAGACACAAGCACTGGCATGTTGCTGTACCTGGCTAGTCAGTGTATCCACACAACAGGGCTTACAATGCACCAGTCAACACTGTTTCTAGCTCCCCCAGTAACAGACCTTTCTCTGTCGCTGTGGGCTGATGGGGCAATTAGCAGGGTTTTTTTTTTGGCTCTAATCCCACAAAACGAAACTTGGCATTCACAGGCACTGACACAGGAAATGCTCCTTGAAGAACACTTCAAGTTATCTGGTTTGGAAAACAATGCACACTATTTTGGGGCATTCCGCAGCTTGTCAATCCCAGAGTACTGAATGCTGCTGTCCTCCCTCTGCTCTCTCCTCTCTCCACAGACTTCTGTTCGTTTTCTCCATCTCCATCTATCATCCCCTTCCTTCCTGTCACAAAAGAACTACTATTTATGACAAAGTCAAATTTTCACACACGGCTCTGCTCAGCGCAGCTCTTGGCTGGAAGAAGGCTACTTTCAACCACAATACGCACACAACACCCAACCATCATATTCCCTCTTCCATGATAGCTCCTGTCACCAGTTTTCAGGCCTGCTGTCAATTCCACTCTTCTGCAAATATTTTTAGACTCAGGTGAAGTTAAGGTCTGTTTCTAATTTAGTCTTCCCGCTATTTCTGTCTGCCCACACGGAGTGATCGGAGCTGGCCTGTTGCATAATGCCTCTGTGCTTGATCTAGGTAGCTTTATATTTAAGCATTAAGTCACAGGATGAAATCTGAAAGATGAAAATCATTGTAAGAGGCATTCAAAATATATCCACAGACTGTCATCAGAGAGTCTGGGTTCAGCTTTAGGGACAGTTCTTAAAATTAGACATTTCTGTTACACAAACTCTGAATGAAAAAAGATTCATGGCTGGTAATGGCTTGATCAGGACTTGGACATGAAAAGACAAGCCAAATAAGGAAAGTTAACTGAGAAGAGGTGCTCAAAGGCTCACTCCTCAAACATCCAGCTCTCTGTGGAAAACCAGAGATGGTGCCATCTCACTCCATGAATAGTGTACGTCAGTGTTAGTGTTATTTGGTGGATGCTAATCAATCCAGAGGATGTGCGATGCAGACTGCTGTGACTATGAGCACCAGCTGCTTGTGATCATGGTTCCTGATGTTCCTGTGTAAGTTTAGATGCCTTTTATGTAACTTTTATCTTATTTTCTCCCCTTTCTTTTATAATTCATTTCAGCTGCAGGAGACTCAGTAGATAAGAGAACCAGCACTTCCCCCAGCCTACACGAGTACTGGTCAACAATGCAGCAAACCAAATGCCTGACTTGGCTTAACATCAACATTCAAAATAAGGAAGCTATCATCTGCAGAGCTGTTCAACAACAACACTGACCTGGGCACATCTCTTATTGGGATTTGTCTAGGCTCTGTCTGGTAGGATAAGGACAGAATAAAGGGGTTGTAATGTTGGATCTAAAATTACAAAGTGTGGAAGACAAGGTTCTAGGAGGATGAGCCAGGTTTTCCACAGTGCCAATCATCCCAAAAGGCTGATGGTGCTTTGTATGGACACTGGAAAGAATCACTGTTATTTAGCTTATTATTTAAAATGAGATCTGTAAACAAAGTGCACTGTACAAGGTTGAGATACACGCTACATACCTGCTTGTATTCTCCAATAATGGAGCCATTCTTCTTAATCTCTGATTCAGACTTGTCAAGCTCTCGTCTGCACATCTCCTTTAGCTGTAGAAACACACACAGAGATACTGTTAGGCGTGTACAATACGGCCACATTGTGACTAGTTGGCCACCAGTGTGTGGGCATTGATAGATAAAAAGACCACACATCCAGTACCCTAACAAAAACATATGGCGTGTCGTTACGGTGCGATAACTGTGCCCCAGATTTGACAGTGAATAGCAGTGAATGCTCATGCTAACAAGGTAAAGAACTGAGTTCTCTTCCCACAGGTGTCCACGTTCCAACCATCCCTCGTATGTGATTGGTCAGCTCAGCGCCTTTGCCGGATGATGTCACTGTTTGGTGTGGTAAAAGCTGAACCTGATCCAATGTTTTCACCACAGGGGGCTCTGGCAAAATGACACAGCCCCATGGAGTGCTGCTGCCGGCTGTGGTGAATGTAATCCCCCATAAAAATGAATGGGGAGAGGTGTGTATTTTCACACCTTTGAAACTCAGTCTGAACGTGGGCTTGGAGTCAGAGACAAGAGAGACTGTCATGTAATGTGAAGAAGACAGAGAAAAGTATTGACAGATGAGAAGCTGAGGGCAAAGTTGCACCCTCCACACAACCTGTACACATGCACATAAATCACTCCGAGCTACACCTGCACACTATAGAGACAGGAGGCATTTGAAGGACAGCACTGAACACGTGGAAACATGGGGCTGCAGGCCTGTCTTCCGCCTCTAAGGGATTCTTTACTGACCTCATGAAGACCAACATGAAAGATGAGCTGACGTTCTTTGATGTTGAAGGTTTGACTGCAAAGAGTATGTCTCTTTATAGAGCTCTGGAAATGTTTGGACTATAGTCTTTTCCACCAATTATATTACACAGAAAGAGATATTAAATGGGTTTTTAACCATCTTGACACAGGGGGGGAAAATGACATGGACAGATTCAAAGAAAATGATGAAGAGACAGACATTAAAAGAGAGATGGAGGAGAACATACAGAGAAACAAAGACTGACATGTAGAGAAACGTTTGTGCTCAACACATGCAGTACAGTGTGTCTAAAGGGAATGTTGTCTTAAGGTTTGACTGGGTTACATTCATGATGTAATGGCTGGTTCTTGTACTTTTCATCTTTACAGACTTAGCCACAGTATGAGCAGTATTACTACCTGAGGGGGAAAAAATAACAGCCTTGTTTTTTAGGAGCAGTATATTCAATCAAACGACAACTAATCATGTAGGTTTTTAGTCCAACCAAACGTCACGGTAGCTGAATATGATTAACACACTTCCGTCCACAGAGATGTTCTAAGTAAAATCAGGTGTCACACTGGTTCGAATGAGAACCTGTATCTATCCATAACATAGACGGGCACATAAATATCACACATGTAATGCTTGTCTTCTCCTTGACTCAGGATAGGAGATTTAAGCAGCATCTTTTCACAATGATAGTTGATTCACCTGAGAAGGTGTACTGCAGTAGTACTATCTGTAGCCCTGTATACTAGATGACATTTAGAGAGAAATATATTTCAGACATCAGCAGAAAAATTTTACTAGGCTGGGTTTAGATCTGGACCCCAGTGTCTCATTGTTGGCTCTAACCTGTGCAGATTCTTCTTCCAGCCGCCTCTTCTCGTCCTCAGACTCCACCAGTTTCTGTTTGGTCAGCAGTAACTCTTTATTCAGGGCGTCTGCCTTCTCCTCAGCCTAACACACACAGAGCCACACAAAAATAACCCAGAGTTGAAGAGGTCATTAAATGTTAGTCTCGCCCTACTTTCTGCTTTAGTTACCTTGAAAAGAGAGACACTCTTTTCAAGGTAAGTCAAACTGTGGTGAATTTCCTGTCTGACTCACTCACTACATACTTTCATTCTACTGCTTGTTGTTTTAGCTCTTGAACAATAAACTGCATACTTGCTCTGTTAGGTGACCTTGATTTTGATTTGATTTGATTTATTCTTTCAAGCATGTAAAAACAGTTGATATGACAACACACATAATTTTACACATAATCCAATATCAATTTGCTTATACCTAGTACATGCTTGAATGGAGTAGGAAGAAGTCAGACTTATCCAGTCCTACCCCATGACATCATCTTACCATCATTGGTTTGCAAGCAGTAAATGATTCACTTCTACCCACACACATATTATACTAAAAAAGATTATGTGTTAACATTCTTACATCACACAAGTAATATACTAAAGAATTATTACAAAATGTACACCACGCTCACAATTGTCCATGTAATTAATCATTGAGCCTGTTCTTGCATATATCTTGATTGACACATACCTTTATATTTATGTTTAAACTCGGCAATTTTATTACTATTTTTTATGTCTACACTTAAATTATTCCATAGTTTTACCCCACTTATGGAAATACAAAACAGAAATGAGTCATTTACATGAACATGTACACACACACCCCTACAAAGTTACACAGATATAGTCTTTCCCTTTGGCTTACATTGTCGAGGTCTTTGCGCAGGGCTATCTTGCTGCTAACGAGCTCATGTGCCAGATCGTCATTCTCCTGCTCCAAACGCATGTTGGCCTCTTGCAAACGACGGTTCTCCCGCTGGACAGAGGGCAAGAGAGACAAAGAGGGGGAGGGAAAGGCAAGAAGTGAATAAGAGAGAGAGATTGTCAAAAAATGGGAGGAAATAGAAAACTTAAAGTAATAAGGCAAAGGGAAAAGAATGGGACAGCAAAGCAGAAGAGCATATAAAGGAGAGACGAAGCATGAAAGAGGAAAAAAGTGACATGACAGCAGAGCTGGGAAAACAAGTTGATCATGCAGCGTTGCGAATGAGTGTGTAAACATCTCTTCCTGTTCAGTAGTTTCCAGAGTAATGCAACAGCCCAGAGTGAGGCTGAGCTGTTGTAAAAGTTAACTGTAATTATGTGAGTGAATAATTGCCCAGAAAGCGCTGTCTGTAATGTACATTATCACCAGCAACAGGCAGCTATATTAAAAACATTAAATATATTACTGATATGACAGGCAGAGGAGTGAAGATAAGGTAACCTGTGATTCTGGGATAAGTATTAATTTACAAGTGAAGACACAAATGATAGCAGCCTGTTGAAAATGCGGTAAATCTAAGTGAGTCAGGTGTAAACTAAATGCACCCATTAGGACAAGATTGCAGTTTTTATAATGTAAAATATGTTCAAACTATAATTAAACTATGATAGGCTAACCGAGACAATTATAGTTTGGCTTAATAGCTGAATGTAAAAATGATCTTCTTGAATAGCAATAATACACACATCCCAAGATACCTCCTCTGTCTGGGTCACAGAAACCTTTGACAGCATGGAAAATACTGTAAAAAAGGACATCTTGTAGTTTTAATTTTATGGTGATGTTGAATTTCTTATGTGTAATGTCTGCATGTTGTTTTGTGTTCATCTCTACCTCATATCGCTCAATAGGAGCCTCCTGCTGCTCCTGCTGCTCCCGCATGGTGTGGTACTCCTTCTCAAATTTCTTAAGCTTCTTCTGGCTGATCTGTTGGGCAGCAGGAGAAGAAAAACAAAAATGTGGGATTCCCAACTGTCTCATGCATATGAAGAATAATAAAATAATTGTAACCATAATGAAGAATGGAAATAAAAACTGCCCCATTATTCTTTGGCTCGTGGACTAAAAGGCGGCTGCTAGTTGAAAATCTTTCCAATCTTGTAAACAAAGATAAGATTTATAATCTTTGCTGGACTGTGGCATTCTTTAGTCCAATCTGGCATACGAATAACCTGTAATAGGACATATGCAGAATTTGCTACTGTTCATTTGAGATCTCTGTCCACAAGTGATTCATACCAACTTACAGTTTGCTGAGTTTTAAAAGTTCTGAGATGTATGCACAACGAAATGCTGTTGTAAAGCTACTGCACCTCTCGGAACACCATCACCCCTGAAGGCAGTGTTACTTGTGTATAAGTACTTTAACAGCTGATAGAGAAGCCATTGTGTTTTCTAACTGTTTTTAATCTACTCTAATCATAGGTTACATTATATAATCAGTTACTGCTTTTGTGTCTTTTATTCTGACGGAAGTTTCTGCAGGCAGGTGAAGCTAAATTTCCACAGTTCATGCTATTCATCGTCTTGTTAAATGGATGATCACAAAGTGCACAGAGTTCTGGCTCGGTGGTACACCTCTGATTACCCAAAACAGCATCCCATTGAAAACCACACACTTTCTGCCACTTCCGTGCCTACAGTTGCATTTGCGCACTAACTGCATTTAGGCCGTCTCATCAACAGGCCTTTCACTACTCAGCTGCTGCCTTACATTGGCCTTATTAGAGGAGACCATACAATGAACACTATGTGCCTGATTTTCAGCATGAACAGTGAGAGAGAGACCCAACGCCCGTGTTCAAACTAAGACAAGCTCGACCTTTTTGTGGACTTTAACACGTATAGTTACAACAGCAACATCAATGCACTGTTTTTGCATGCATGACCGTGTGTACATATTGTGATCTCAGGTTTAGCATTATAATGAAGAATACCCGATGATCCAGATGCTCCCAGCATTCATCACCTAATGATGCTGGCAGAACTAGAACAGCATGGCCCACATGTCCTGCTGTAAGTGTATGTTCTTAGAGTTTATTTGTTCACATGTTTTGTTCTGTAAGAGAACTGAGAAAAGGTACAAGAGGTCTTTTAGGACATGACTTGCCGCCTTCTTTCTCATTCTTTTGTCATCCTCTCTCAGCCTTGACAGACAGCTAGGTATCCAGAAGTCACTACTTAGAGAAGCAATGTCCAACAGAGCATGCCCAGCTCTCTTTAGTATAGACATTATTTACACACTAAATATTTCTCATCCTACAAGTCTGGGATCAGGTATAAATTAACAAATTACCTGTGCGGTGTATTCAGAGACACAGTGTAATCCACCTGCGCTCTCTCAGGTAATTTTCTGATCATTCTGTGCTTCTCTAACAGAAAAATCATGTAAGCTTGTTTCATTGCTGCAGTTTTGTTTTCTACAAAACATAAAACAATTTTGGAAGCTGTGGAAATACCTCAGGAGTTTGACACAGCAGCAGGAAAGCTGTTAACAGTATAAAAAGATCTGTACATGCTCATATGAACTAGGCAGGAAGGTAGAGAGCTGTGCAGTAGATATAAAGACAATGAAGCTAAAACATTCAGGTAAACAAAAAAGCTGACAGGGAAAGAAAAAACTGCTTGTGTTGGATGATTTGAATACATCAGCTCTGGAAGTGCAAAGGTTAGCAGACACAAAGAGAAAGTAGGTGTAGTAACTACACACCAGCACAACATGGCAGGGTAAATTACCTTGGTTTGATGCCAGGATTGTCTTCCAAATACATTTTGTCACCTGACAGTTTGAGTGTTTTGAAGTGTATTTACTTAAAAACTAGTGCAATTTATTATGTTAAAATAGGTTTTCCTCCTAATAATATTAGAACTTACACAGATAATCACACTATTATATTAGTAATATATATTAATGACTGTGACGTGACAAATTCGTCTTTCTGTCCTCTTGAAAGAGGATAACATCATATAATTTGGTTTGTAGAGTTTTATGCTAATTCTACCTTTTGGATGGGGGTGGCTTTTGTGTGAGAGCGTGTTTTTTTGTTTTCTGCATCAACATGTAACAATCCAAACTTTAAATCAGGTTTCAAACAACACTGAGATATCTGACACTGGTTGTGTACATGGAAGACCTGAGCTCAAACTGTGAATGAAGTAGGAGCACCTGACTGTGGACCAATCAAACGGCAGCAGCATCAGTCAATGAGGGCGCCAGTAATCTGGTCAGTTAATCCCTCTATAGTGAAGCTTCAGATTAGCCTAGTGACTCAGACTTAATTTCCAGCTCCAACATTACAGTACTCACTGAGACAAAATTACCAAATGGAATTATTTTCTCTTGCCAAATAATGTGCTGGAAATAACTTCTTAAATCGTTGTGCGGTAAACCGTGGGTTGGCGTGCTTCTCTGTGACTACGTGAGGTTATTTCATTCAAATGCTTAAAAAGAAAGGAAGGAAGATTAAGAATTAAATAAAGCACACAGACAAGTCAAATTAAACAAAAGCAGAAAAAGTAACTCTGAAACTCTCATAGTGTTCCAGCTCAAGATGTTTTCATGATTTATGTTCAGAACTGATGCCTCGGAGATCAGTAGTGAAACATCTTCAAGACTGCCCTGATTTACTTTCACTGGATCTTTCCCTTCTGGAGGAGCTCAGTGTGCACTCTCCCTGTTGCCCCCATCTACGTGAGAACCAAAAACCTCATCTCTGTCCTTGCTGGCTCTTTTACAGTTTGTGCTAATAAATATTTCTACCCAAAGTTACCTTCAAAGTCAGGCCCTCTAAAATAGGCCAGTCTGTTCAAAACAGGTCAGGACACAGGTGCTAGTGTGTGTGCATGTGTGTTAAAGAGGCAGAGACAGAAGGAGAGCAGTGTGCGTGCACCTATTCATGTCAACTGTTAAACCTACCTTAAAGTTCAACAGCGGCCCCTACTGGTATTTCTGTAGCACTGCTAAACTACAGGTTTTATGTATTCATTCAGTCCGTTTCATTTACTTTTAACTTGGTTTTCTGGGTAGCAGACATACTGTTTTCTATGACCTTTTGTCTCCAGTATTCCAAATCTTTTTAAGGTTTGGTGAATATTTCTATTTTTACTCAAGCTAAAAAATCAGGTTACTAACAAGACTGAAATGAATGGGACTAAACCTAAAGTCTCAGCTGTCGTCTGAGGGATGCAGGGCCGAACAGGCTGCTGCTTGGCAACAGTGAAGAGAGACTCACCTTCATGCTACAAGCCAGCTCCATCAGTTTCTTTGCATTTTCCTCAGACCGGTACCTCTTTGGAACTGGGACACGAAAGAATTTGAGTGCACCCTCGAAGTCTGTTTGGATCAGATCGTCCTTTGAGGTCTGTGGAAAAAAGAACAAAAAGGTAAGCACCCATTAATCCAAATTTGAGTATTTTGTTGAGCAGAGATTTTTTTATACAGTAATGTGAAAGCAGAATGGCCCTAATTAAGACGACGGTTAAAAAAAGATAGGATAAATAACAAATTGGTGAGAAAACAGCTTAGGTCTAAAAGTCAAAATAAAAAAACATTTTTTCATTGACTGAACTCTTTGCTTTGAGGCCAGACATCTTTAATAATAAACACAGTCCCTGCTTTCAGCACAGGACAGTGCAGTCACACAGCATGTGTGTATGCACTTGCTCACATGTCGATACTGTATATAACATCTTTCCAAGGCTCAGCTTCCTGTTGGCACATGTTTGTTTCTGTTTCTACTCACACCTGTGGTTGTCAGTGTTAATGTATCTTCATTTCTGTGTGGGTTAGCTTACCTTCAGCAGTGCCAAGGCTACATTGAAGATCACACTGATGCCCTGAGAATAGAGAAAAATGATACAGATTCAGGGACTAATAAGGAACTGTGTTACTGCAGGTTCAGGGAAATGAACATAAAAGGTGCTTATGTGTAAAGAGTAGAATGTTATAAGTGTAAATGTGTGTCCACAAACAGTGCATATGTCTTGCTGTGTAAGTGAAGTACGAAGGTGCTCATATTTTCAAAATCGAGTGTAAATAGCAGCCGGTAAAGCTGTGTTGTTTCATTACCAACCTCACACAGTAGCAGGTCAATGATATGGAAGACCATGTAAAGAGGGAACTTGGCTGTGAAGAGGGTGAGGAACCACTGAGATGCATACATGTGAGCCTCCAGACCCACGCTAAGGAAATGGTTGTACAGGTCTGGTATATATTCCTGGTTAAACACAGGAAGTGACAGAGAAAGAGGAGGAGGAATAAAAATAAAGAGAAGGGAGGAGGAGAAGTAGAAGGAACGATGTGGAGAGAAAGAGGTAAATCACTAAATGTAATACAGAAAAAATATGGTGTGCTTTCAGAAAAATCACTTTAGATCTACAAATGCAACACAGACACACACCTGCATGAGTCTCTCAAGTTGGAAGAACTTGCAGTGCAGATCTTCAAAGTTCTGCTTGAAAAGGTCCCTGAGCCCGTAATCAAACATGATTTTGACCAGCACACTAAAAGCTTGCTCCTCTGGCATCTGAAGAAGACGACCAAGACATCAGTCATCAGTACTTCATGCCAGTTCATATTCTAATAATCTGTATTTCACAAGGCTAATATGACTTTTACATCATAGCTTTACCACATAAATCTATGTAAATTAATACTAAACATAGCCTGGAGCAAGTGACTCCTTCAAATGTTGTTAGTTTGCACACATCTCTTAGTCTACCATCTTGAAACAAGCCACAAACATTGTTTCTCCACCAGGTGGAAGTGTTGTCCTGTCCCTGGAAGGCAAGATGGCAGATGAACACAAACCGATTATACATTATTTACACATAAGAGATGCCAGTATCCCATGGATAACACTCTCCGTCTGACGTCCTTCTGCCCTTTGTGAGTCTGACACTGAAGATACATTCTTCAGGGTTCAAAACATTCAAGATAAGCCAGACAAATCCTCCAATTTTGCAAAAATGCCAAAAAAATCTAAATAACCCCTCTCAGCTTTTAGAACTGTTTAAAAAGCTAGGATGTTTGCTGGACCCTGGTGATATGTGAACTCACGTGCAGCAGCAGCACAGCAGCCAAGAAGGACTGTCCCTGGCAGTAGCCAATCTCCTCATCATAAACAGAGTAAGCCTGAAAAGAAAAGACAAGGACAAGCAGACACACAGTCTGTTACTAAGTTTTACTGTGAATTAACTGTCCGTATACTATATAAAAATGTGTAACATGAACAAAAAAGAGTAAAATATTTTTTAAAGACTGGACAAAGCAGCCCTGGGTTAAGGGCATCAGTAAATAATTTGTGCTGTATTTGACAGGAAGGAAGAAACACAGTATGTCCATATGGCTCAAGCTCCACTGGATGCTATCATATCAGTCATATAAATATTTAGTTTGTGAACCCTCAGTAGACTTGTTTGGGTACAAAGCACTTGAATTATGTTGTACATGCTGTTCAGTGCCATTTCTGGTGATTTCTGGCAATTCCCTTTTTGGAAATTTCTTACGGTATGTCTTTCAACATAGGTGACTTTATTTACAAGTGTTCCATTACTAGTGTCAGAATAGCAATAAAAGAAGACACAGATGAAGGCAGGATCTGTAGTGACCATGAACAGAGACTACAGGAGGAAAACAGATGGAGAGAAATAGAGCAAATATCAGGGTATGGAGCCAGGGAGAGAATGTAGAAAAAGTAGTGCCCTACTGAGCTACAAACACAAATAATGAGTGCAAGCTAAACAGGGGGGGGCTGCTGAATTATTCAAGCACACCTGAGGAGGTGCTTGTCTGGGAAGAGATGGATGTCCTCACCTGAGTTATACATAATGAATGAAATGAAAATAGGAAAAAAAAAAAAAACTGCAAACACGCTACAGCCAGGCTATTCACATGGGATTATGGAACCATAGGTAGGTTCATTTTCATGACAAAGAGAGCACCAGCAACTCATGGTCAACAAGGTTTATGTGTAAGCATGCTGCTGCCTGAGAGTCAGTTGTACAACTGTGTGTGTGTGTGTGTGTGTGTGTGTGTGTATAGATATGTTCGATTAGAAAGTTATTTTGCTTTTCTAGACAGGCTGGGACTGATGTGAACTCAGTGAACCACCCAGACACAGAGTAGCTATTCCGTTATTAATGACCAGTTCATTTTAGTTTTGACAGCCTGCACTATTGCTCTACACACTTTGTTGTGGGACCTAGTGTAAAGCTGGTGTACTGTATTATAAAAAGGCTCAATTTCACATGCAGATTGCAAAGTGGTTCTAGCAATAAACACGACTGATAACAATTGTTTATATCTCACCGGTGTAATTAAAGGAGGATACAGCAGCTCCAAACCTTATGGTTGTAAATGCATATCAGGGACATAGCGCCTGTAATACATCACACCAAAAATCACTTGCAGCACAACTGGTAGTGTATAAATTTTTCACAGTTCCTCAGTGTGAAAGATAAGAATCACACTTAGTTTTTATATTTAGTTTGTTTTCACATTCACCAGTAGGGGTGTTACGTAATAAACAAACAAGACATCTTATCAACTTGGACGTAGGGAATACAAGCTGCTGATGTGTTTGTGCTCTACAGAAAGTTTGGCAAACTGTCAGCTGCAGCTGTAACTTTATGCACTGTACTGATCCATTTCTAGGACTGCAGCATTTTGTGTTGACTTTACAGAAAAATACATTCAGACATGTTCTTGCTTGTTTGTCTGTGTCCCACCTTGCAGATCTTGTAGAGTGAGTCTTGTCCATCTCCTCCAGTGTCTTTGAAGTAGTCATGAGCTGGGAATGTCCTGTTTATGTCTCTGGTGATGGCACTGTCCTGGGGGGACTCCTAGGGGAGATAAAGACAAAGGTTAAGGTGAGAGGAAAGAACTTAAACACTAAAGAATCCACAAGATGTTTTATTATCTTCAACAGTATCGTACACTGCTTCAATAATGGGCCACGTTTACCACGACTGCTCGTCATTTGTGCCGCATCACGGAGTGTGTTACAGTATACTGTGTATGTGGTGCTCAGGTTACACACAGCTTCTCTGGGGTAAGTCGAGCTAGCATGCAGCTGGTTATGTAATGTAGTTAAAATGAATAGCGACCCCGCCTATCCGGCACAAACAGCACCATGCTGCTCGGTTTTGGAGCATATTCAGCACAGCACCGTGGCTGGGATAGCCGATACGGTACTTAGTTAAGACTACTGAAGTAAAGAAAAAATTAAAGTATAAAATAAACAAACATAGCTACTGTTTACAGCATATTAATGCATTTTCTTCCTGTGTTAATTTTACTGTTCCATGTTTCACCATAATGGATACATATGGCATTGCTTCAGTCAGGCTGCCTCTGCACAATCTGATGGAGGATGAATTACAGTACATCACTTTATCACAGAATACAGTAAAGTAGTTTTAAAACAGGTAATACACAGTAGCCTAATAGAAATAAATTATGATGGTTTGATGTTATTTGTACAAATCACATCAATTCAGTGCCTTTTCAGTCTCATGTTGTGAACTACAAAAGTAGCCTACTAATCTCATGTTTTATGCAAATTTAAATGCATTTATTGGTTGGAGAGTGTTGGTCTAAATTAGTTGATTTACAGTGTATGTACTAAAGTGCCAGCAGAGAGACACTGTTTCAATCAGGGATTTGTAACACCTCATTCAGCAGCACCAACAACTCACTGAATAAACTTCACGCTGTGCACCTGTGCTGTGCTTCACCTCTTTAATATCACATTTTGCTCTGCCTTCCCCGCAGGTATCACTGTACCATCTCATATTATCTTAGGTTTATTTGAAGTTGCCTATAACTTGGAAGTGTTCTACATACCGCTGGCTAGCTTGTAAATTTCCCAAGAGGAATCAAAAGTCTTATGACTATATTTAGTTTTATTCTTCTGATTCTGAAAAGTAAAGAAAGTTAAAAAAAAAAAAAAAAACATGTAGTGCAGTAAAAAGTACAATATTAACGCTGTGTTTAACAGATTTTGGAGTAAATATTGTACCATTTAAAAGCAAACTGTAACAATTTATGTGGTACAGTATGTTATGAAGTACAGTGAGACAATGCACAAGCTGCTTTCGGTTTCCTTTCTATATCCACATACTATGAAGCAGTAACGAGGGAGCAACAGTGCGGCGCCTGGTGGCAGAAAAGAGAAGTGCATGTTGAATTTTCAGAGGCCCACACACACTAAGATGAAAAAGTACAACACTTTTAAGTGTCACTACTTTACTACTAGAAAAAAAAAAACTCCTTTGAAGCCAGCACTGGTCAGTGTTCCTCACTATGTGGCAACTCCCCACACTACTGAGATTTACAGCATGGGCAGAACGAATTACTAGTGGTACAGAGTGTTCTCTTCCACAGTACAGACAGTACACATCTTCCCTTCTCTCATCTCAGTTCTGATTGTAATCAGTTTAGGAACATTACAAGTAATTCTTATGTTGCCACAGCGCAGATAAAAAACACCAAATAATAATGCAACTCTGACAAACAGAATAAAGGAAAACAGGTCAAGCATATTAGGTAACAAAAAACACATTGATATTATTTATAATGCAAGTGTTCTGTGAGAATAGTGACTAACATTTTTACTGTTGCTATAGTGTTACATATTTCACAGAACTCTATAAGAAATGTTTTTAGACAAGAAAAGTGCTACAACTTCAGGAATGGAGGGTTTTCATCCTCTGGGGAACATGAATGTCAATATGTCATGGCAATCCCAAAAGGCACACCGTGGCTAACAAGAACTAGAATCACCACTTCGCAGTTGTATGCCTCCACCAACCAGCCAATGAGGTCACTGAGCTAGACCACTGATCACCAAAACCTAATCAGTTCATCATTGAGTCCAAGTGGACATTTGTGCCAAATCTGAAGACATTTCCTCCAGGTATTGCTGACATATCGCATTCACAAGGATCATACGAACAACCTGAAAACCTAATGCCTCTGGCCGCGGCTATCACTGCCCCAGGATGCACTGACTGAAGTACAGAGGTGTGAAAATAACCCCACCTGCATACAGTACATGCAGTATTTCAAGCCTGGGGCAACATAGTTCTCGGAGATATCCCTTTGCAGAGAAGACAGAGCACCACATATGGAAACACCATATACACACAGATCTGTAAATACTCCAAACTAGTCTTGCTTTTCAAACATTAATTACCCCTCATTTCACTATTGATGCTCTTTGGAATTAGCAGCCTCTAAATAAATAATGTCACTCTAAGACACACTGGTAATTACATGACAACAAATACACATTTAAAGATTGATTCATACAGTATGTGAAGGCAAAGTGGCTCAGGACATGGTTGATGTGAGACAAAATGGGGCACTAGAGTTTTCAGCAAACTGCAGCCATATACCTTAAAAATTCCCTATTTTTAACCCTCACTACTTTTTAAATATCTCTTGGCCTCTTTGTAGCTAATTATACCTTTTTGGTCTCCATGTCAAGTCCCTTCCTCTCCCTTCTCCACATTTCTGTTCCAACTTCCACAGAGGAAGAGTGAAACAAAAATAAAGCAAGTATAAGAAGAAATACAGGAAGAAAATAATGCTAAAACAAAGTGAGCTAACTTCCACCACACCCAGTAAGTCACAGATAACGCGTGTGTATATAAGCACAGCCAACCTGACTGGATGCTTGGCAAAATTTGAGTCATATTGATTGTTGATAGTGTTCTAACATCTGTTTGGGATGAATAATAAATCTTAAATCTGTCCTCCTGATTCATGGAGTCTTTCTAAAGCTGAGCTTACACTAGAAGACTATGATAAGACTAAAAAAAAGATTTTTAAAAGAGCAAAGTTTGACACCCTCTCACATCTAAAGACAATATGTCACAAGTTTTTAATCATAAACTATGATTTTGCAAAGACTGGGGACAGGGTCACTATTTGCAAGCCTGCAACTAGATTTCTCTTGAGACAACTTCCTGTGTGCTCCTGCATTTGGCTACAGCTGCACTTGCAGTGTTTTGCTTGGAAAAAGAAAAGAAGACACGCAGAATGTGGACATGACCCTGGGTGACTGAAGTGGGACAGCAAGGTCTGTCCACCTTTCTTCTTTCTCCACTTGTCACAGTACAAACTGGATGTCACACACACACACACACACACTTGCTCACTTCACAGCTCCACCAGTTTCTCATCCTTTGACAAGGTTCAACAGAACCGTTTGGTGTAAGGCTGGCATAACACAGACTGTGTAAACTCCTAAAGCACTAGAGCTGAAAAGATTAGCCAATTATTCAATCAGCTGATCAATAAAAAAATTAATCAACTATTTTGAAAATCTGTCATTTTTTGTCATTTATTACAGTAATATCTTTGGGTTTGGGACTTTTGAACAGACAAAACAAGGCATTTGAAGACATCCCCTTGGGTTTTGTGAAGTTGTGACTGCCATTTTTAAAATATTTCTAGACCAAAAGATTTATTGATTGATGAGAGATTACATTATAATGAACATAATCATTACTTGCAGCCCTGTACTGTATGTACACTGTAATATTAATTCTAATTCTTACTGAATATTTTAATATTCTGTTCTTCTGGCTACTCTACCTTTTCCTAACAGGCAAGGAAGGGGTTCACCTGCAGCACATCGGTGAAGTTTGGCTAAGCTGAAATTTAGCCACAACGCCATTGAAAAGGTGCACAGAGGCACTCTAGTCTGCTCGTTCACAGTAAAAACCACTGGCATTGATGTGTTTTGGAGTGCAGGGGTGGAGTTTCTGTATCCAGTGTGAAGGGTCCATTACACTGGGCTAAAGTCTCTCAGTGAATGATAAGGATCCATGTTTATACAAGTGCCACTTAGTCATGCTTATCTAAAGTGCTGAGAGTGTGTACAAAGACCTCTGACACAATGGTCAATTAGCTTCCTCTCTGTCCATTCAGTTAAAGAGAATGAGGGAAGCACCAGAAGGCAGAGAAAACATATCCAGTGAAAGAAGATGGGAAAAACTGTGGCTGTGGACAGCTTGGACTGAGATTCCAAAGCCACCATTGCTGCTTAATCTACTTCTGCCTCGTGCATCTGTGTATGCAGTGTTGTAAACACTACTTTGACTTTTTTGGAAAACAACTCATTTTGCTTTCTTGCCTTAAGGTAGATGAGGCGATCCAATACCAATTCTCATGTCAGTGAAGTAGGTATGGAGTTAGTCGGTGCAATCTGCTGCTGCTCACCAGGAAATAGGACAAGCCCTGACAAATGCTACAGCATGACTATCATAGCACTGTC